CTTTGAAATCGACCTAAACATGCATAGATTCAGTTACATTTCAAGAAAAGGGTTTGAAGCATTTCAACAGAGACTAAAACATTGTATCCTAGATTTCGGTCTCACAATTCAGGTATTTTTTTTTTAATTTTTTTTTTAAATAATTGTATTGGGTGATTTTTAAATTCTAAACCGATATTTATTAATTTTTGTAACAGGGAACTAAGGCTGAAGAATTACCGGAGTGTATTTTATGCTGCCTTCAATTGATAGAAATCGATTACAACAATTACAATCTACTCGGGTTTTAAAGCCAAGCAATAATAAACTATTATCTTTTTTTTTCTTTTAAAAAGAAAAAGGAATTTCAATGAGAATATTTTCCGGAGTGTACAGGAAACTAGACTCTGAAATTTGAATAAAATAATGTAATCGGAAACAATGCATATCGATTCGTTAACATTAAACATTCAACATAAACAACGAAATTAAAAGAAAAAAAAAACTACATATATAAATTGAAATTACGATTATACCCTTCAGTACTCGGAAATACCCATCGAATAATGGCGGAAAGTCCAATTGCATTTCCCGGTCCCGGTTCAAAATAGACTCGACAAAAGAAATAGAATTAGTCGGGATGTCTAATATGTTCTTTGACGGATCTACCCCTAACCCTAATCCTGATCCTGTTCCCGATCCATTGTAACTATATGTGTTTTCACCTGAAATAATCCCAAGATCGGATTCGTTTGTGTAGTCTTGTTCTTGGTCACCAATGAGGTAGTCGGACCAAATGGAGGGAGAAGATGGTAAATTCACTTGTGGGGGTTTTGATGCGGGTGATGACGTGGAAGATGAGGCGGCTTCATTGATGTGAAAATGGGGAGGGGTGAGAAGGTTTAGTTGGTGGTGTTGGTCTTGGAATGGATTGATTATTGTTAATGAACTGTCTGCGTGTGAGAAATCTGGTGGTTCTCGGTGGAGGTGATCGGTGGTGGTGATGGGGCGGGTGGTTGTGGTTGGGATGATTTCGTTTATGTTTCCGTAATCGGAAAGGAGTTGACCGAAGGGTTTATGGGTGATGGGATCGATTCCCATTTTGGAAAGTTTTTTCTTTAGTTTTGTGTTCCAATGATTCTTTACATCGTTGTCTGTTCTTCCTGGTAGTTGCTTTGCGATTAGAGACCACCTAAAGATAAGATACAATACATAGAAATTTAGCAGGCGTTTGGTTTGTAGAATATGAAAGAATTGGAATCTGTAATGTATTTGGTTGATAGAAAATGAAATGAAATTTGACGACAAATAAATATATTTTAAAATTATCACTTATAAATATATATTTATTATTTTAACATATGTGAAAGAAAAGTTTTAATATGAAAATTAAGGCTGAAATTGAATTCATTCCATCCATCTCTGGGAATGATAGAAAGCAATCAATTATGGAACTAAGTTTTGTTACAATATGTATATGTTATGGAATGAAATGGAATCGTTAATTTCAATTTTATATAAGTTCACTTGAATCTTTGGTGTTTTGATATAAGAAATTAGAATGAGATTCTATCCAAATTTAGGAATGGTGAAATCAATCAAGAAAAGAATTTGAGTTAAGCCAATGGAATTGAATTTTGTCTATTTGTGAACCAATCTTGAATTCCAATTCCATCCAATTTTGTTGGAATCCATGAACCAAAAGAACATTACTTGTAGCGAGTGGGTCTTTTGAGATGTTGTAAAATAGACCGGTAACATAAGTTTTTTTTAGTTCAAATCAAAACAACTTGGGTTGGTTAACCTACCAACCACAATTTTTCTTTGAAAAATAACAAATGTATTTTTACAAAAATTATATTGTTGAAATAATACTCTATTATATGAATAAAGCCAAATATGAATAAAGCCAAGTTGTAAGCATTTAAATAACATTTGACTTGTCACATATGATATAAATCCAAATCAACAAAATTTTAGGTAATTTAATATGTTTTCTTTTATCCTTACACTTATTTGACTCATTTTAGGTAATATAACTTGTTTTCTTCTTTAGGGAACAATGACATGAAATGGAAAGAGTAAACATACCTACTACCAATGGCTTGGTGATACCTCAAAATAAGTTGTTCTTCATGAGGAGTAAAACTATCATGTTTAAGATCCGGTCTAAGATAATTCGTCCATCTCAACCTACAACTCTTCCCGCATCTATTAAGACCTGTTACAAGTATAAATGCATAATGTACTACAAGTCATTACAATAATCAAATTTTTGTTAAGAACATAACATTAAGATGAAATGAAATTAAGAACCTGCTTTTTGAGGAACCAAAGTCCAATTTCCAATTCCATGACTAGCAACATATGCAAGAATCTTGGCGTCTTCTTCAGCAGTCCATGGCCCTTTCTTAACATGCGATTTATCGCAACAAGGAGGCCTTCTTCCCATCAATAATTACACACAAAAACACTAAAAATGGTGAATGTGAATGTAAATGGTGATGCAATTTGAATGCATATAATGGGGATGTGAGAGGCTACATTTAACAAGTGCTAAGGCAACAAAAGCATGTAGAATTGGCTCCCTAATGAACATATTGCATGATCTCTTCATTCACCCTTAACATGACATGAAAAATATTTCTCTCTCTCTCTCTCTCTCTCTCTCTCTCTCATGTGCTTGGTTCCTCTTGCATTACTATATGAATGGTTTGTAAACCGAAATAGTAACGTTGTGATGACTTGTACCTTATGCAATACAAGTTGTACGTTAGTTGTGTATAACTCAGAAAGATTCAAAATATGAAGGAGAGGTGCTTTGTGTGAAAGGCAATGAAATGAAAAAAAGTGAGCTTCCTTTGTTTTGTAAACTCAGAATTAGGTGGCATGAAACCCTACATTTTCCCTTTTTAAATTCTGCCTATATTTTCAAAAATATAACATAACTTTACTCTTACAATTTACATTTTATTCGACTAACACATAATACCAATGTATAACTTAAAACTCGTAAAATGTATTTTTGTTATTTTGTTATTTCGCTTCAAAAAAGAAATTCATCTTATATTATATCTTTTTCCCATATCCTTTAACTCAAGAGATTACAAACACCAACTACCTTTATACCCAAATTGTCACACACGAAAAATATAGACACGAGAAAGTGTATCTACTAACATACTTTGCAACTCTTCCTACAATATCCGGAACCTTCCGGAGACCCAACCATATAAACAGGATTCCTTTTACATTCGCCAGCTGCCGCCCACATGGCGCAATTCGCATTGTCATCGGTACAGTCATCACTTGTGTTATCTGACTTGTCAAAGCTCCTGACATGGATCCATTTTGTTGCTGACCATTTCTCGCCTTCTATCACGGGGCAACTCCCGTGTAAGCTTAATACATCGGTTGTAGCATTTGGATGAAGACTGAAAAACAACAACGCGTCCCCCTTCTTCGGTTTCACTGCAAATGTAACACACAGTGTAATATCAGAACTCTGCAGTTAAGCGTGCTTAGGCGAGAACAGTACCAGTAGTACTACCAGGATGGGTGACCTCATGAAAAGTCGATATATTGGTACATGTGATTGGGATGTACATCATGTTGTGTGGGACCCTATATTTCAAATAATGGGTCCCACGTGGATGGTTGATTTGGATTTCGATTACGAATTTAAATAATGTGTTTTGAAAAAGAATTTTCATGGAATAGGAAAAAAATTAATACCTGCGTAACCTTTTTTAGCACATTCGGACCAATCTTCATTAGCTTTCGGTTGAGATTCTTTTATCTGCAGAGATTTCAAAAAAAAAATTACAAATTGATAATAAATCATCTTTCGGATGGTGGAAATTATATAATGTATGACTTTATGCTAAAACTTTAAAAGGGTTTAAAAACAAGATTATAATAGCATTGTACTTTGAAAAATCTACCCAATTAGAACAATGTCATTCAAAATACAAAACAATTTCAATGCATTAATAAAAAAAAGATTAAAAGGGCAATGTTGTAAAATAATGAAATGAAAGTATGTTGCTATTTATTGAATATACAAAAAAGGCTCATACCTCTGACTCAGGAAACACAGTCTCACCACCCTTGTGGACATTAGAGAGATACATAAGAACAGTGGCGATCCTGTGTCCACCCATGGCTTGATTGGCTTTATCATGGAAGTAATCCCAATGTGGTTCATATTTTTGACCATTTTCATAATGCAATATTTGCATAGCTTCTCCATTTTCAACAGGAAGAAATGTCCAAGCAGAAATCCTTGATTCAATTCCAGCAACAACTTTATCCTTCAAATCAAAGATCAAACATTACATATATTGTTCAGAATTCTTCATTGATGTTCCATATGTTTAGGTTTGATTATGAACAGAATCACAGATGAATCGGTTTACCTGAGCTTTGTTGAGAAACATGCCGGAGCTTGTTCGGACTTCACTTTCTATACTCTTACCAGATTCATTATCGGCAACCATGGATTTCTCGAGCTTATCCTTCGCCTGGTCATCCAAATTCATGTCAAATTGGTTACAATACAAAGAGATTTTATAGAAAGAGATCAGAAATTGATACTGTTACTAACCAATTGAATGAGATGATCGCACTCTTCGTCTGTTAAAAAGTTTCTATACAGAAACGCCCTGTACAGATTTCAAATTTTAAACTGATGTTCATGCAATCAGACAACCAAGAACATGAAATAGATGATTCAAACCTTGGATGCCACGAAATTTGGGTGACCCGAGTGGGATCAAAAGGGTGACCATAGGAATCACCATTCGGCAATCTGATAATCGACCCACGTCTGAAAAAAAAAAAAAAGTGAAATCTCATTAGCGAAACGTCAGAATTAAGTTAATTGTACGAGAATTTAGTAAAGAAGAGATACATGTTGCGTAATCCTGAAGACTGGATGGAGAAATTGGGGAAGAACAGGAGGGAACAGAGGAAGTAAGGAATGAAGAATGCTCGAAAACCCATGATGGATCTTCAAAAACCCTTTTCGATAATTATTAGAGGGAAAGAAGGGTTTATGAAATAGAAAGTTCGCGATGATCTTTTTGATCTGAAAATGAAAAGAACCAGTCTGAGCTGATCAAGAAGGGTAGATATGATACGGTGAGTCTGTAAACGGGTCGGGTCACGTTCAATACTTCAATGGAGGCGCCCACTGGATTCAGCGACTTTGAAGAACAGGAATTGAATTCAATGGAGGGTTTGGTATGGAAGAAAAACCGACAACGCTCATGCTTTAATGGAATTTTAATTTCCATTTTTAGCTCAAAATTGAAGAAAAAGGAAGAGTCAATGAATTAAAGTATTAAACACGCTTTTTTGTTTTTGTACTAATATTCTCATGTTTATGTTATTTTTGGAAAAAAAGATGAAAATGGAATAATGTAAAATTATTGAAAAAGTATTATTATATTATAAAAAGGTTAAAGATTTAATTTAAAATAAATATTGATAATTTATATTCATTATTCATGGATACAATTATTAGATTAGCTTGCAAGTTGATAGGTGAGATGAATTGGGTAAGTATTAAAAATAACGGAACTTTGGGTAACTATCAAAATATGGCAAAACTTTTTTGACATAAAAGTGCCCTTTTAATCAATTTATTTTTATAATTACAAATCCTCTACTTAATTATCTATAAGCAATTCATTAATAGGTACATACTTTTTTTTATTTATCAAAATTATATACTAAATTAAAAATCAAATATAATAATTATAAAAATATATATATTTTTTGTTTTCATCGAGAAAAAGTGAAGATTTGACTTTTTTGGAGATGTTATCGTGGATAGTTTGATAATTGTGTGTATTGGCCCGCATGTGATACGCAATTTTCTTGTCTCATTTCCATTTCATATAAAACATATCCAAAATGTACTAAGTATTTTAAAGATTTTGTGTGGTCCACTAAAAAAAACTAAAACATCTCACTCATAAAAAAGCAAATTTGGTATATATTTTCTTGGATTTTACTTTATGTTTTATTGTTTGTTCTAATTTTTTAGTTCCCCCATCCTTTTTTTCCATTTTCTCTTTGCATGCATACTTTCTTATCGAAGAATTTCTAGGAAGCTAACGTTTGTATCTATGCTTAGAGGTAAGATGTCTATATTGAATCTTTCTCTTACCTCATTTCATATGAGATTTGTGTACGTCTGTTGTTGTATTAGGAGATATTGATTATTAAGTATTCATGGACATGAGCGTCTTTGAGGGTGTGCAAGGTAGACAAACGCATCGGGCCCATGTCGTGGAGGGGGCCCAATTTTTACATACAATTCGTTATAGTAGATTAGTAATCCATGCCTAAACAAAATTGATTCAAATGTATTTTCGCCAGGCCAAGTTCATCCCCTGATTCTCGCTCTCACCAATCAAAGTCTGATGTCGCTACTCCTTCTCTCGAACTCGTTAAGTTGTTGAGGATATTTTTTTTATTATTATTGATTCAGTGATTGTTTCAAAATCAGTATACCATCGTATTCAGAACTCAAAATTGTAAGTTTCAAAATCCAATAAGATCACTCAACTTCATAATCGCTTTTAGCCTTTAATTTTAGATGTTTTTTTAAACGACAAACTAACCTAAATACCACCTATATCACATAGTGAGACTTACACTCATGACCTTTCATTTGAAAGAGTCATTCCTTACCGTTAGGCCAAAGGCTCAGCGATCTTCAATTTCAAATTATTGATTAATTGATTATTTCAATTTCAGAAATTAGAATCGATTTTCTAAGAATCCGATGCTCACTTGTTGTGTTTCCATTTCATAATCGATCGAGATCTGTTGTAGCTTGTTTGTGTGATTGTTTCAATTTCAAATGATGACTTCTCTTAACAAGATTTTAACAATACAATAAGTATGAAAAGTATTTTGGTTTTTTGCTTCCAAAAAAATCGAAAGAATTTGATGACGAAGATTTTAAGTCGTGTTGTAGTTGTTTTGAAGCCGAACTTAAGTATGGTGAATAGTCCAATATTGACGAGAATGAACTTTATCTAGAGTTAAATATGGTTGACGAGTTCTTACCGAATGAAACTACTAATGTGTTATGTGTCAAGTACTTGTTGGTAATTTTGAATCATCTGTCATTAAGCATAACTAGAATTTATTACAGTATTAAGATGGGGTCTAAACTACGTTATAATTAGTGGTCTGATGCAATTTAGAATTACACTGCAAACTGCAAACCGCACCGCATATACGGTTTGAACATTTTAAAAACTGCAAACCACACCACAAAAGTTCTAAACCGCATTATGCCGTACACTTTGGTGCAAACTGTTTATGTTGTTTGATGAGTTATTTTAAATTTATAACCAATAACTCAATTTAAACACTTTTAGAATCTGTTGATGATATAATACATGATTACATATTTTTTACTTGCTGTAATGTCATGATATAATCGTTTTGTCAATTGCAATGTTACGTATTTTTAGCCGTATGATTAAAGTTTGGTTGTATATTTTGTCTTATTAAATTGTTATAAAAAGTTAGTCATGAAATAAAGATAAAAAATAAATATTTAACTCTTGGAAAACTATGAAAGTAAAACAAATGAAATTATGCTTTGGGAAGGATACTTGGATTGCTGATAGACCGCTGAAGCTCATATTTCATAGATTATATGCTTTGGAGTTGGACAAGCAAATTACAATTTCCCTTAATGTAATATCCCAAAAATCAGAGTAAATTTAAAATTTTCAAAAACAATCCAATAACTATAATGTTTACAAAATCATTGTTTCAAAAGTGTTTATCAAATATCAGAGTATCCCAAAATCCAAAATCATTGAAACAGGAAGATGTGCACGATTATGCCTTCCCCTTCCTCCGATCCTCTAAAGTACCTGAAACAATAAACTAAAACCGTAAGACAAGCTTAGTGAGTTTCCCCCGAATTACAACCACACCACATAACCAACAACAACATGCATACATGAGACTTCAGCATGACTGGACCGCCTCACCGAGGCTACAACCTATCTGGATCGCTATCCAGGCCTTCAGCATGACTGGACCGCCTTGTAGGCCTAAAGTCTATCCGGTCCGCCCTAGGTATCTTGGCCTTCAGCACCAACTGGTCGGCCTCAACCCATCAAACCGTAACATGGCGACATATATAATAACAGTCAATAATCAACAAACACAAGTAGCCATACAGATCTACAAGCCTAACATATATCCAATAACACAGGTAGTTCTACAGATCTACCAGTCTAACCACATAATCAGTGAACACATATATCAACATATTAACACATAACAAACCAGGATATCTAATCCAATGGGATGGCCTTGGTGCCTTCGACCCATAAGTACAGTGAGGAAAACTCACCTCTAAGTCCGATCAATTAGTTGAATAGGCATCTGCTCTGAATATCAGATTTACCCGTCACCTATTTATCAAATAGTGAATAAACTCAATTACAACTCAAAATACCCAAAATACCCTTAGGTCAAACTTGGTCAAATACTGGTCAAAGTCAAAAAGTCAACCGAGTCAACTCAGCTTGAGAACGCATAGCGTCCAGAATGGACGCATATCGTTCTGGACACATGTCGTTCCTGGAGAACGCATAGCGTTCTCCGCCTGTCCCCTTTTTCTTCCACTAAGAGCTTAATCCTTAAGCTCTTTTGCTTAAATTCCAGATCTAGCCCGAAAATAACATCTTTAACCATAAAGTTTCCAACTTTATGGTATTGCATGGATAATAGTGCCCAACAACAAAAACCCTCACTCCTTAACTCATGCATGGAGGAAAACTAACAATCAAGATTGTATTTTTATGACCTTAGAAACTCCAAAACGTCTGGAAGGACAATCCATTTGGGTCTAGAGCATGCCATACTCAAGAATACCATTATTTGGGACAAAAGCTCATAATAACATCATACAACCTAGATCTAATCAAATAAGCCTCACTGTATGAACTTTATATCTTCCAGAGATGTATGATGGCGCAAAACTTCCAGATCTAATGTTGTTCCAAGCTTCTAAGTGGTTCTCTTCTCCTTCTCCTTCCTCCATGAACACCAAATAACACACCAAAGGCTCAAGAATGCTCAAAACAAATTAGGGTTTGCAAAGGGGTCGAAATGGGGCTAGAGACTGATGAAAGAAAGAAGACTTAGGGGTTAAGGATGCTTAAATAGGGTCCAAACCCTAAAAGTTAGGGTTTTAGTCTTGGCCGAGAACGCATTGCGTTAAGCATGGATGCATAGCGTCCATACTAACATGCATTCCTAATGGACGCATAACGTCCAGAACGACATGCGTTCCTAATGGACGCATAGCATTCTCCTGGTTATGTATTTTCCTCAAATGCTACAAGGGACCCATTTGAAGGGTTTTGAGCATTCTAACACTTCCTAAGTGTACATGCAACACTAATAAACCTTGGATCTATGTTTGTCTAAAATTCATGCAAGATGATTTCCAAGGTTCATAATCCTATCTATAATACATGGGGAGGAACATTAAACTTAACGTAAGATAGAATAACATACCTTGTTGCTGATTTTGATTCCTTGAAACCTTGTGAGCCTAGCACCCCAAGTGTGATGCCTCAAATGCTTCACACAACACCAAATGCTATGGAGTAAACTTGGAGAGAATGTATAACACACTAAAATCGGCTCTAGCCCTCTTGTTCTACTTGGTGTAACCGATTTTGGGAGATATCACATGGTTTATATAGTGTGTTGCATTAGGTAAACCCTAATGTAACATGACTCTTCATTTCCATGATCCATGGATTAACTCCATGGAGCATCCATGGAGCATCCTATGGGTGGAACCCAACTTGATAATCCATGGAGCCTCTTAGCCCACTATATAAGTTATGGATGATTTACATAATCAACCCATATATTTAATTAGTTATCTTTTGATCACTTAGTTAATTTCTAAATTAATTCTTGATCAAACTAATTAAATAATATTATTAATATATTAGAACTTATAATAGAATTATAACCATAGTGTTATTTCTCTCATTAGTTTATCCAATGCATGGTGCCATGCAACCCAAATGGACCATGCCGGGTCGGGTCAAGTATATACCAGAAATGTTATGGACTTAGACACCTTATCCAACAGTCTCTTCACTTGGATAAGTCTAATAACTATAACTGCAAGTATGACTTCAGGAACCGATCGGCAATCGTAGCTCTTTCAAGGTCTCTCGGAACTGAGAAGATGATGATACGCCATTTA